AGACAAGGGGTCTCGCTTACAGTGGGGTCCCTGGAGGCACCAGGGGGTGTGTGCAGAGTGTGGTGACAGTCATAGTTCAGGCAAGAGGTCCACCCAGCGTGAGTGGGGTGGTGGCCATGGAAGTGGACAGACTGAGGGTCAGCAGCAGGATTGTTCGGAAGGAGGTGGGGCCTGGGGGAGGCGTCCTGGATGTCCACCTTGTGCTGCGCGTGGGGCAGGGAACCCTGGACACGGAGACCAGTGTGGGTGCAGTGGGTGGGGACTGAGTTTAGCCCTCGACGGTTGAGTCTAAGGTTCCGTCTGCTCTTCAGAAGGAGGTGGGGGAGCAGCTGGACATAAGGGCTTGGTTACCCTAGGAGGGCACCTGCTTCGGGATGGGGCCTCGCAGCTAGCATGAGGTTGTGGGAAGAGAAGGGGGCTGTGAACCATGCAGGGAGGGGGAGCTCCAACATTTCATGGCGCCTGTAGGAGGCGGTGCCAGCCAAGGACAGAGAAGAGAAAAATCCAGAGACATGGAAACGACGGGGAGAGCGTGGCACCCCAGGGGCAGAGGACGCACTTTCCAGGAAGGGGGAGGTCAGCCGGGTCCGACGGCGGTGAGCGATCGCGCAGCCTGAGAGCAGACATGCCCTTGGATGTGGTGACGTGGGGTCATGGGGACCTCAAGTTGTCCTGGTGAAGGGGGCAGGAGGGAGATTGGAAGGAGCCAAAGGGCCGTGGGAAGTGGACAAGCGGGACGTGACCACGACAGACCAGAAGGCCGGCGGGGCAAGGCCACTGCTGGGGCGCAGTGTGTGGCGGAGATCGGAGTCGTTCCTACGCTGGGGGAGGCTCGGAGACGCTGGACCAGTGATGGGAGAGGACCCAGTGGTACATCCTGAAGTTTGGCTTGGATCTTCTCAGCGTCTTCGGCGCTTTTCTCAGCGTGCTCAGCCCCTTCTCCCTCCTCAAGCTTGTGCAGGGCAGCCGGGCCGGCGTGCCGTCGGGTCGCCACGGTGTGTTCCTGAGTCAGGGCCTGCGGAGGGCCGCATCAGGTGCCCCGGGGGCTGTGGGGCTTCCTTCCTGGCCGACGGGCTCGCAGCACACTCCAGTCCTGCGCCTGCTCTGGGATTACTCCACGGGAGGGCGTGTCGGCCTCAGGGGCAGAAGGAGAGAGAGTGGGTGCTGCTAAAAACGCCCACGAAGTTCTTACCCTCTTCAGTTGGATTTCCCACTTCCAGAATTTTCATTTCATTCTTTATAAAAATGAATTCCAGGAGAAAATCTAGACGGCTTTTGAGTATGGCGATGACTTTTAGGTACAGCACAAAGACACGATCCAAGAAAGAAGTAATTGATTGGTGGGACTTCTTGTAATTTAAAAACGTCTGCTTTGTGTGGAACGATGTTAAGGCAATGAACGGACAAGTCACAGGCTGGGAGAAATATCTGCAAAAGACACATCTGATAAAGGACTGTTACCCAAAACGTGCAAAGGACTCACACATCAACAGAAGAAAATGAAAAACTAGATTAAAAGTTGGGCAGAAGACTTGAACTTCTGCTCAAGACACTTCAAAAAGGGTCTTGACAAAAGGCACCTCACCAGAGAAGACACAGAGGGCAAGTCAGCATTTGAGAAGGGGCTTCACATCCTGTGTCACCAGGGAAACGCAACTTAAAGCCGCGAGGCACCCCCGCACACCTGTGGGAGCAGCCCGAGTCCGGACTTGACACACCAGGTGCCGGCGAGGTGGGGAGCAGCCGGGGCTCTCGTCACTGCTGGCGGGGGCAGAAGCGGGCATGCAGCCACGGTTTGGTGGTTTTTACAAAACTGGACTTACTCTTACCCTGCACTCCCGCTGGATGAACTGGAAAACTCAGGAAGACCAGTCTCATAAGTTAAGATTTAAGTCCATTCAGTACCTGCACACAGGTGTTTACAGCAGCTTTATTCATAATTGCCCAACTTGGAAGCAGCCTAAGACGCCCGTCAGCAGGTGAATGGATAAATAAGCTGTGATATGATTCAGCACCAAGAAGAAATGAATCTTCAAGTCATGAAAAGACGAGGAGGCTCCTTAAATTAGTGTGCCTAAGTGAACGAAGGCAGTCTGCAAAGGTCACCTGCATGATTCCAACTCCAGGACCTTCTGGAAAAGGTAGAGCTCTGGGGGCAGTAAATTCAGGGGCTGGGACGGGAGGGAGGACCAGGCGGGATACAGAGGCACTGTCATCAGTGAACCTACTCTGTGTGACACTGTAGTGACCGGTGCACATCGTTATCCACGTGCAGTACATCACCAAGAGGGGACCCTGCTATAAGTGGGCTTCGAGTGACTGTGACAAATGCACCGTCTCGGGGGAGGCCGGTAACGGGGGAGGCCGTGCGTGTCGGGGGCAGAGAGTTTCTGGGAAATCTCTGTACCTTCCACTCCATTTTGCTGTGATCCTGAAACTGATCTAAAAAGATCTTTTTTTTTAAAGTAAGGAATAAATTACAAAAATATCTATGCTATCCTTAAAAATAAAATTTCAGTTCTCTGATGAAATTCTCTACCTTGTAACCTTTTTTCCTCAGCGTATTAGTTATGGGTATTTTATTATTATTTTTTTAACTGAAGTACTATTACAGTGTGTCAGTTTCTGGTGTACGGCACAGTGTCCCAGTCCAGTCATGGGCAGTTTAAAATGTGCCTGTAACTCCCATGACATGGACACCTGGGACTTCTGCATACTGTTTATTTTGCTGGTCTCCTGTTGGGTTGAAGAGCGCCTCCCGCTCTGGCCCCTGGAACATTCACGTCCGTCTGGAGCCTCCGAGTGCGACCTTATTTGGAAACAGAGTCTTAGCAGATGTAATTAGTTAGGATTGTGCTGGGGTCGTACTGGAGTCTGGGGGACCCTGGATCCAGTGAGGGTGCCTGATAGGGACAGAAAAGGACACAGAGACAGAGGAGAGGGTGGTGTGAAGGTGCCCCAAATCCTGGCTGGTGATGGATCGTCATCCATCCATCCATCTATTATCAATCAGCAATCAATCAGTCTATCAAATATCTATCATCAATCTATCGATCGATCTTTCAATAGTGTGGGTGTCATCAGTCAGTCAGTTACCTGTCTGTATCGGCCAGTCCGTCTGTCTGTCCTCTATCACCAGTCATCCACCATCGATCTGTCGGTCTGTCTGTCCTAGCTATTCTGTGCATCCTCTGTCCGTCTTTCACCTTCTCATCTCTCTCTGTTTGCATTTTGTCTGGATTTCAGTTGCTGCAGATGAGAACCCCGTCCTGCTGGGCGCAGTCTCGTTTTGTCTGTGGGGTAGAACTCCTTCGTCACGGACAGAAGTGAGAGTCACTGGGACACCTGACGTATCACGCACTGCGCAGAGCTGGGGACATAGTGGATGTCCCATAAATGCTAATTAAAGTATGTGTACATTTTAAAGTGTATATGTATGTAAAGTACATATACGTAGATATATGTGAACGTATCCGATAAATGGAGGTAAAGAATTACTAAATACAGCCTCGCTTTGTCAACCATGGATGTTTTTTCAGTTCTGAGCCACTATTCACAGTCACGTTTACTGAAGTGAGTTTCCACGTCTCTGACCCACCCCTCTGTTGAGCACAGAGGTTGTGCTGTGACCTGGGGAGAAGCGGCCCGTGGTCTGGTGGGTGGGTTGCTGGGGACGTCAGGAGAAACGAGAAGGTGTGTCAGGGAAATGCACTCAGAAATTGGGGTTCAGTGTGTCTTGCTCTTACATAGTGGTGTGTGTCTGTTCATCCCGAACTCTTAGTTCATCCCTGCCCCAGCTTTCCCTTTGGTGACCATAGATTGTTTTCTGCGTCTGTGAGTCTCTTTCTGTTTTATATAGAGTCATTGCATCATAGTTTAGATTCTACGTATACATGATGCCATGCGATATTTGCCTCTCTCTGGCTGGCTGGCTTCACTTACTGTGACGGCTCTCAGTCCATCCATGTAGCTGCAGATGACAATATTCCATTCCTTTTCATGGCTGAGTAATATTCCACAGTGCATGTGTCTACACCACACCTTCTGAAGCCGGTCAGCTGCTGACGGGCACCTGGGTTGTGTCCATGTCTCTGTGCCTTTGTGACTCTCATCTTGTCCACTGACCTGTTTTTCAGACTCCTGGGCACGTCCCGTATGTTTTTCTCTCTAGTTTCTGCAGCAAACTTCAGAGCCAGTTGCTCTCATGTGCTTTACAGACGGGGAGACAGAGCCCCGCAGTCGGCCTGCGGAAGCCCCCCGGCTCCCGGTGGGACCACGGTTGGGCCTGGCCTCTGAGACGGGGCCCTTGGGCAGTGGGTGCCTGGTGACAGCCAAGATCGATCATGCCAGTCACATGTTATTTATATTTGGACACATGCTGTGCAAAAGCACGGGCAGCCTGCAGTCATCTGGGCAGTTCGGATGCCGCGCACGCCTGTGGTAATGACTATAAATAAGATGTAACTTGCCGACTAGGCACAGGTCCTCTTTTAGGTAGGAGTTCTGGCTAAACGAACCCCAGGATGAAACCAAGTCAGAGCTCCAGTCGTCTCTGAAATTAAAAAGCAAAAACAAAACCAAAAAACAACCAAACACTCACAACCACAGAGGCCACTGTCCCTCATCCTCCATCCATGGCTAACCGTGCCCTTGGAGTTCGGGGCTGCGGCCAAAATGGTAAACATGCTTATTGCAGTCAAGTGGTGGCTAGGGACCCCTCTGGGAGTGTCCGTTTAGCGACCAGGGAGACTAGCTCCCAAGGACTGAAAATGAGTCTGTGAACTCCTGCGTGGCGTGAAGATGCGTGGGGAGGGCGGGCTGCCAGCCCCGCCCTCTTCTCTGGGGTCAGTAGCTGCATCTTCAGTTTCCTGGGCATGAAAAGCGCCCTTCGTGAGTCAGGAGGGCGCTTTCCATGTTTCAATTTTTCCCAACTGGAGTTAGACTTGTTCCCTCCTAAGATCAGGCTCATGATTTACGACGACGCAGGTATCAGTGTGGGGCCAGGCGTCCCAGGCGTCTATAAATAGCATTTCCTCGGCCATAAAAGGGAGGGAGTGGCGGGCGTTTGGAGCGAGAAGCTCTCTGCTTCCCTCGGCCGGAGCCTGCAGGCTGAGCCTCTCTCCTCTCTGCCTCTTTCCTTTCTCTCGGGGTAAGTTTCCGTCTCTTCTTTCCTTTTCTCATTCGAGGCGTTGGAGTGGTAGCTGTGCACCAGCTGGTTGCACTCAGATTTCCTAGATGGATCCATGTCAGGGTGAAGAAAAGTGGACAGCACCATCCTCTCCGTGCTGGAAAAGTCAGCCGGCAGTCAGGTCGGAGCCCCGGGTGTCTCTGACGCAGTCTGGATCTGCACACTCTCTGTTGTGGGAGGTTCGGGGCCTCTTCCCAGCACCTGCGTCTTAACCCCGGGTTCTGCAGCACCTCCGGCGCGTCCCCGGGTTGGCTGATTGATGCCTGCAGTTTTCACACATCTCAGGAAGGAGAGCCCCTGTGAGGAGAGGGCAGGTCTGAAATGGGGTGAAATAAACGCGGGTATTTCTTAAGAAAGAGAAAGAAGAGAGCAGAGCTATTCAGCTTAGACCTGGACTGTGGCCTGGAGGGGACAGGGCAGAACACGGTGCTTGTAGGGGTCTCAGCTCGAGACCGCGGTGTCTCCTTTGTGCCTCTGGATGCGTTATGGTCCTGCAGAATTTTCTGGCTCAGTTCTCCTAACAGAGCCTGAGCTTTCTCTGGTCGTGCTCCTGAAAAGCTGCCCCAGAGAAGGGCCGTGGGGTTGCTGGGTGCCTGCCCTCAGGGGGCCTGGAAGGGCCCGGCAGGCAGACGAGGGGGGTCTTTCTGGGGGGAAACGCTTGGCTTTCTCTGCCTCCTGATCTCAAGGTCCTTTCTCTGGGAGCAGAGGTGAACGGGCGTCGGAGAGCACGTGGAGCAGAGAGCATTCAGAGGAGTCATTTAATACCCGAGTCCGGATCATGTTTGCGATGATTTTGCATGAAACTAGCGCCTTCACTCGTGTGCCTGTTCTTTAAGAAACGAGGAGAATCTGGGGGAACAATTTTAGGGGAGGGAATAGGTGTGTGACTTGGTTTATCTTGAGTTCTCTCAATGTGTGACAAGCTTGCTGAGCGGCTGGAACGTCCCCCTGTCCAGGAAGCAGCACATTTTTGACCCTGCTTACGCCGCGGGGCCGCAGGGACAGGCTCCCTGGGAGCTGGAGAGGCCTGTAGCCGCGAGGAGGCACAGGCAGCCGAAGAAACTGCGAAGACATTCAGTCCTGGGTCTGAAAGGTGGTTTGCGGGAACACTTGGGAGTTTGGCTGCCGGACATCAGACGTCAGGCCGCATCGGATGATGACGGTGTAAGAACTATTTTGTGTCCGGTCAGATTTACTTCTGGAGCTGAGAGGTTTGGAAGACTCTCGGGGAAAGCAACTCAAGCCGTCTCGGGAACGGAGGGCGCAGTGGTTTGGGGGTGTGGACCGGTCCTTTCTCTTCCTCTAGGGGAGCTCGAGGGCGGTGTGTTTGTGAACTTGGACAACTTCAGCTGCACAAATGCCAATTTCTTCTATTAAATGGAAGTAAATGTGTTTTAAGTGAAATGTGTGCACAGATGTCACCCTCCTGGGTGACATGAGAGGTGGGCCCCAGCAGTGCTCGCAGGAAGGGCCAGGACCAAGCCAGTGAGTGGCGCCCAGTCCCCTGAGCTTGAGGACAGGCTCACGTTTCATTTCGGTTTCATGATTCCCGAACGTGTTAGGAGCGTCCGTGGGTGGAAGGCGGGCCGGTGCCCAGTCAGACGCTGGGATGGAAGCTTGGCTCCATCACCGGGCACCGGGACCGGGGGGTTCTCGTCACCTCCTGAGACTCAGTTTCCTCGCAGGAGGAGGTCGGGAATGGGAGGAGGCATCTCGAGTGTGTCAGTTCAGTCACAGCTGTGGAAAGCATCAAAACGCGTGTGTGTGGACCCGGGCGACTCCGCGTCTTTGGTATTTGAGGACGATCGGTGCTCAGAGAGGGGTGTTGCCTCCGGTGGCTTTGGACTCGGTCTCGAGTTTGGGCACTTTGAGTGCTTGAAAGCCGTCACCTCCTCCAGCCCTCAGTCCCCACAAAGCAAGCAGAAGCCAAGAGCTGTGTGGGTGGTGGGGTCCGTGCAGGACTCCAGGCCCCAGCACCCCGCCCCGGGTGCACCCCAGAACCCGTGCTGGGGGACGGCTGTTCTCCTTGCCTCTGGGGGGGGTCATTTCCCTGAGAAGGAGAAAGTGTGGGGAGACCGTGCAGACCACCGCTGCCGCCCTCTCGTCGTGGTGTCTCCCCAGCGCAGCTGGCCACGTTCTCTCTGTGGTCCTCACGTTGCCTGGCGACCCTCAGGATGCAGCTTCGGACCCTGTGCTGAGCCTGCAGACAGCTCGCTTCCAAGAGGTGTGCTCACCCCCGTCTGCAGGCGATCTCCCGGGCGGGGTCAGGGACAGCTGGGAATGTCCTGGAATTCGAGGTCCAGGGGGCAGAACCCAAATGAGTGCCCTGGGCGTGGGCTCGGGCTGTGTGGTGGCCCTGCGGGCACTCCCGGGGCGGGGTCAGAGGCACGGAAGACGGGGTTTGCTACCATCCCAGGAGCAGGCGTCTGAGATGTTTCTGTCCTTGAAATGCTACGGTTCCCTGGTCCAGGCTTGGCGGGCATGCGGCAGGTGCTCCAGGTGTGCAGGGCAAACAACGGGGAGAGTCCTGAAGCCCCCGGGTTGCTGGCCCCCCCATGACTGTCCTTCAGTGACAGCGAGCACCGGGGGACGAGTGCCTGCTTGCTGCCACCTTGTCTTGAGGGGATGTGGGAGCAGTAAGTCTGCCCTCGGAGCAAGGGGCCCCGGAAACGTGTCCACCTGACTGTGGCCCACGTCCCTCCTCTGTTCGAAGTGTCTGCTCCCAGCGGGAAGTGTGAGGACTTGCAGGTCACACAGGCTCCTATCACACCATCCCCTAGACACGCCAGGTGTGGCCCGTGCACGGAGCGCTGAACTGCACAGTGCAGACCAGTTAAAGGTACACGGTCACCAGCTGTGGGCACCGCTGACCTTTCCCAACCCTTCCACGTTCAAAACAAGAGCAGCATCTTGTCAAGTGGGGGCCGCCTCTTTTGGGGGTGCTGGCTGCCACAGTTTAAATGTGTCAAGATAGCTTATCCTCTCCTGTCACCCAGGCCACTCTTGGACCCTGCCCTCTGCCAAGAAATGCAGAGAGATTTGAAGGGTAACAACACAGATGTAGGTAAATATTGTGACAGGGCAGGGACACCAGGGCAGTGGCAGCCACGGGGATTGCTCTGGGCATTCTGGTGTGGCTGACTTTCCCTGCATTTGGGCAGGTACCTCGGAGAAGGTGTCTCGGAGACAAAACTGGTTCAGAGTGGTGACATCTGCCCCCAGCACGCCCGCTCCGAGAGCTTTCCCCAGCACAGGGAGGCACTCCAGGGACAGCAAATGGAATGTGTACCGTTATGAGCGAGAAGCTTTTCTTCATGATTCACCTTGAGTCACTCGTTAGCAGACCCACTGAGCTGCAGCTGGGGATGTTGCAGATATTAGAGTGATCAGTACATGCTTGTGGATGCCTCCTCCTACCTGCAGAATTCAGCTTAACAGCAGCAGCAAACAGCAAGAGCATGTGGGGCCCCCCCGGTTCTGGCGGTTACTCCCCACGAAGCACGGTGCCAAGCACTGTGTGGATCCAGGAGACTACCTGTGTTAGAGGTGCGACAGGTTAGCCCAAGGTCACACCGAAGTGTGGAGTCAGTAGGTCTGTCAGATGTCACAGCCTGTGCACTTGACCTCAGCCTCATGGCGCGTCCGTCGGACAGGCAGGGTGGAGGGGATGTGTGCGTCCCAGTAGGTGCAGCTTTCTGCTGCACATTTATAGTCAGTTTTATGCCACGTGCTATAGGACACACGCTGGACCCTTAGTGGATTCCTGGTGGTTGGTGGACTAGTTGGTTTTTAAGAGGGACTTTTGAGATGAGTTAGTGTGGAAAAGTGTAAAATGCCCAGAAATAGGAGTCTGATGACCTGTGGATGGCCAGCCCTTTCCATATCGTTTTCGGGAGACCATTTCTCCTCTGTGGCCACCGGGTCCCCTGCCCTGCCCAGCCTCCCCCGAAGAGCAGGGGTTTGGACACTGAGGATCCTCCCAAGTGCCACAGCTCTGCGATCCTAGGGGATCACCGTCTGATGGAAACTGACTGTGAGGCACAGACTTGGGATGGGTTATGTGTTTCGGTAAGTTTTCCACCATCCGCTTAGAGGTGTGTGCGCGGGGGGAGAGTGAACTTAACGACCCATTTCAGGGCACGGCCTGGCATTCCTGCTCCTGGTTTCCATTCTTCTGTCCCCTGGGCTGTGCCCTGGGGCCTCCTGAGGGTTCCTCCTTTAAACCAGGCAGATTATTGCAGTGTAAACACAAGTGGCGTGCGCAGGGCTCAGGCCTGGAGGGGCTCTCGAGCCCCTGCCTTTGGGAGGCTAACGCTCACAGAGAGTTAGGGGTGCCGTCCGCACGCCTTTTTCAGAAAGAGCCCGGTGCCCAGGAAGTTGGCGTTTCCTTTCCCTGGGGGATCGTGTGCGGCAGAGGGCCTCCGCCCGCCCGCGCTGGCCCCCCCACGTCCCAGGCTGCTGGCCGGGTCTCAGTGACTTCTCGTTGGGGGAGAATTTAGCCGAAAAGCGCTCCCTTCCCCACGTCCCCCAGGCTGCCATGCTGGGCTCAGTCCCCACTCCTGCCCTTCCAGCCCAGCGAATCTGCAAGTAGCCGTGAGATGTGCTTTTAGAAGGGAGGGTCTGGAAGGGTCCTGGAGACTCGCTCCTCTTCCAAGCCCCCTCCGGAGCAGCGAGAGGCTCCGACTCCTGCCGCAGACGCCGAGCCCTCCACCCGTGGTCCTGGTCTTTCCAGAGTGGCTTCTCCCGTCTCCTCTTTCGTGTCCTGAGATCCTGTGTTTTCCTGCCTCCTGCCTGCCTCCTGGGATGCCCTCCCCGCACCGCCATCTCCCCTGTCAGCTCCCCAGACGTCAGGGCTGTTCTAACACGTCACCTGCTTCAGGGCCTCCGGGGCTGCCCGCGGCCCCGCGCTGCCCTGCGTGCTCCCTCCTCGCTTCGCGGAGCCTTATCTCCTCGTCTCCTGTGCCCTCAGGGTTTGTTTACATCCCTAATCTGAGTTTTATTTTTGTCCTTATCTCACGCGTGGCCGTGCGCAGTGCCATGAACACATGCGGGCTTCTGTAGACGGCAGCTGAGTTTACAGTGAAGTGAGACGTGCAGCCCAAGCTTCTGATTTTGATGGACGCAAACGCGAAATGAGATCAGGTCCCAGGGAATGGGACAGGTGCCCGAGATCATTTCCTCGCACATCTCCTTCTTTTACTTCCCTCCCCCGCCAAGAAGGTTTTTAAAATTTTTTATTTTTTTCCTTTTCTCACTTGAAGTACTGTTGATCTACAGTGTGTCAGTGCAGCGAAGTGACTCAGTTATACGTGCATGTATGTATCCACGCATCTGTTCTTTATCGAGTCACTTCCATTGGAGGCTGTTACCAGACACTGGGTGTAGTTCCCTGTGCTGTCCAGTAGGACCCCGTTGGTTCTCGGTTTTACTATGTATGTTAATCTCCAAACTCCTAATTTACCCCTCCCCTGCCTGTCCCCTTTGGTAACCGTAAGTTTGTTTTTTATGTCTGAGACTCTCTGTTTTATAAATAAGCTCACTTGTATCATTTTGTAAAGATTCCACACATCAGTGATACCATGTAATATTTATCTTTCTATGTCTGACTCACTTACTTCACTTAGTATGGCAACCCCAAGTTCGTCCATGTTGCTGCAGATGCCACCATTTCGTTCCTTTTTATGGCCGAGCAGTAAAAGGGTTTATTACTTGGAGTTGATTTCCGGCTTTGGAACAACGCAGCACGTTAGGCACCGCAGGAGCCCGACTGCTTTAGAACTTTCAGGACCTCAGCTCTGCTGTGGCTCTCTGTTCGCAGGTGAACACAAAGATGTCCCTTGTCACCCTGCCTTTCTACCAGAAGAGACACAAACACTTCGACCAGTCGTACCGTAATATTCAAACAAGGTACCTCCTGGATGAGTATGCAGCGAAAAAGTAAGTTGGATTTCACTGATTCGACCTGTCAAAGCTTTTTTGATTACGAGCTTCGTCTGACTCATGGCAGGAAGCTTTCTCCAGGCCCTGAGACCTGGAGGCGGACTAGTCTGGGGAGGGAGGGATTCTGGTGCCCCCAGTGCCCGTGTCCAGCGCCAGAGGGGGACACGGCGGGGCTGGCTGCACAGCAGATTGTGTTGGAGTGCCACACGGGATCCCGGCTGATCCTGGGAGATCCTGGGTAAATCTGGTAGACCCTGGGAGATCCCGGCTGATCCTGGGAGTGCCTGGTAGACTGGCTCCGAGCCCCTGGTTTATGGCACAAGGCAGGACCTTCAGAAAGTGCTCCTTGACTTCACTCCTCTTCACGCACCTTCCAGAACTGGAATCTAAAAGGTCACCGAAAAGCAAGGGCTTTTTGGAAAAGACTGTCGGTGGGATGGAGTTGATGGGGACCGAGTCAAGTTCAGAGGGAGCCTGTAGCAAAGATAATTTTGCTACATTAACAATACACGTGGCAAAAAAGCAAATCTGTTCACGCCCGAGCGGCTGGGCCTCAGACGCTGGCGTGCGTGTCCCCGCACGCTATGTTTAGAAACGCCCGCGGTCCCTGTGGTGAGTTGCCATCCCGCTGACAAACAAAACCAAACATTCGCCGTGCCTCCCGGCAGCCTTGGGGAGCCTCAGATCCCTTCAGATATATATAACCGTGGCCTCGGGCCAACAGAGCTGAAGGCACTTGCTGGTCCTGAAGGGGGTGGCGGGCAGCTTGGGCTGGAAGAGCGCCCCTCGGAGGGGCGGGCTGTGCACACGGGGGTGGAGGCCACGCACAGGGATGTGGGGGGTGCATGCGTGTGTGTACGGCACGTGTGCCTGCGTGTGCCTGAGTGGAGGCGTGTGTTCTCACGTGTGCAGGCTGAGCGTGTGGGCAGACGAGGGTGTGTGTGCACTGTGTTCACGTGGATGGGAAGCACACACATGTGCCTGCCTGCCTGAGTGTGCAGATGCCTGACCTGTGCAAGGAGGGACAGTGCCGTGGTTTGTGGCGGCACATTTCTGTACTTCCCTAACACGTGCAGTTTGTCACCGTTCCCCAAGGCGTACGTCCACCCGGTCGTCCTCCCAGAAGACTGTCGCCCAGAAGTCGTCTTCCCAGAGAGCATCCAGCCAGACGGCGGAAGGAGCGACGACCTGCAGGATCTGTGCGAAGAGGGTGAGCGCCGCCCTGGAGGAGGAGGAGGCGCAGGAGACTAAGAGGAGGTAACCCCCCACCCCCCACAGCTGTCGCCCAGACACACTGCCCGGGGATCTGGGAGGGGCTCTGCGGGTCGGAGGAAGAAGGGGGCCGTGAGCGAGCAGGGAGGGGAGCACCTGCTGCGGTGACCACATGCAATCACTTTGCCACCATCTCCATCTCGACCAACCCCAACTGGAGAGCAGGTGGGATGGACTTCTGCATCCTCATGTGGAGACGACTCTGGACCCAGAGGACTCACATCCATGGCCTCCGTGTCGCAGCTGGACTTTGGCCTCAGGCCGCTGTCCCTCGGCCCCCAGACTCGCTACCTTTCCCCAGAGATCAAGGTTGTCACGCTCAGAAGCATCAAGACCCAGGGGCGGGAACTGAGGCTTCTGAATGTCCTCTCACAGCCTCTTCGGTGGCTGAGGAGCAGCCCTGAGCTTTAGGCGCCGGCAGGGGGTCCAGACAGGGGCCAGTGGTCCGGGCGCAGACGGAGCGGCAGGGCCCTGCCCCCCTCGTGCTCCGCGGCTCAATGGACTCGGCTCACGGGGGCGCGTCACAGGGGTGAGGTGGAGGAGCAGGGACACCGGTCCTGGGATTGTTTCCAGCTCCTAGAGAGACAGGTGGCCCCCGCCCTCAGGCCTTTTAAGAACAAAGCAGTTAATCATCTTGTGAATGCTTCACTTTGTACCTGCAGTTTTTTCCTTACCTCCGTCTGATATTTATTTCTAGAAATTTGTCTCTATTTCAATAAAACGCCCCAAACCAGAAGGAAGAATGAGATTTGGGTAAACAAGTTCCAGTTTGAAAGTTGCACTATGAGTAAGGAAGCTGCTTAATAAAGATACCAGCTCGCCGGAGAGACTAGCCTGTGCTTTTAAAAGTCTGAACGCTCTATTAGCTGCCTTGTGGGCACTTTGTCCTGTAAGCTGATTTTACAGCCAGATGCAGACTTCTTTTGTGAAAGAGTCACTGCAAAATGTGCACGTTAGGAAGTCTGGGTTTCCAGGCGTTGGGTCAGGAGAGGGTCCTCCCTCTTCTGAGGACTTCGGCCTGGGGAGTGGGAAGGCTAGAGCTCCATAACTTTGTCTTCATCCATTATACCTTGGTGTGAGCTCGTTGTATAAACGTCTTCGCCCTCAGTTTCCTGGGGTGAAGTGCGGGAAGTAAACTTGTATTAATTTGAGCGATCAGGAAGTGGGTTATTGTGATTTGTGTGGTTTCAGCCAAAAAAAAAGTTTCTGGACAATCCTGGCTGTTGGAAACCTTCCGGGAACATGCGAAGCTGCTCTCCCGCAACAGCAAACCTGGCTCGAGAACGTATTTTGATGACTGGTGACTGACCGGGGTCTCGCTGTGTCCCTCCGCTCAGGGCAGACGGCAGGCCGTCGGGGCAGGCGCGGCGGCGGGGGTCGGCGTGTGCTGCTCTCCCCGGAGCCCAGCGTCCGTGCTCTGAGAGTCTGAACTGCAGGGCCTCACGATGTTCTGTTCTCACAGCCGTGTGCACGTCTTCCCTGTGAACGATCTTACTGAAATTAGGTCTTTCCTCCTTTAAAAGTAAATCTAAGTAATTGTGGGTTTCGGTGAGCGGGGCCAGGGTTAATGGAGATTTTATTGCAATTCCTGCTCTGTTCCTGGCCCAGGCCAGGGTGATGGGAGCCGTTAAGTGAGCCCCAGTCCTTGTCGTGACGGTTCACCGCCCTTGCTGGACCTGGGCGTGACCGACCTCCTGTGCCAGGTCCTGGTTTCACTCGCAGGACAGGTCAGTCCTTTGAGAGGATGAAGGTCTGGGATCATGAGTGTGAGCTAAGCTTGTGTCTTCATGTAAACTCCAGCAGAGCATCGCTGTGCTCTGAAGGGTCTTGGCGTGTCCTCCTGGCAGACACGGCGGATTAGAAATGTCCCTTTGATGCCCCTACTTGTGTCCTGTGGAAAGTGGGCCTCCCAGCCCGGTGCAGCTGTCCGAGGGGCTCGCGATGAGGGCGGATGCAGGATGAGTGACATTCTGCACGAGAGGCCGGAGCCATGAGACCTCACCCCAGGCCAGCAGGGACACATCCTCCGTGTCTGGGTCACGGGGCTCGGGGCTGGGTCGGGGGAAGCAACTCCAGGCCTAGTAGTTAGTATAAAACATTGGGTGGGGGGTGATGCTGCTGGTGAGTCCAACACACGTAGGAATCTTACACAAGTTCCCGGTGGGACTTCGGGCCTTTCGGCTTCTCGTGACAGTTTGTGGCACGAACAGAGGTTTGCCTTTGCTGTCACTGGAAGTTCGTGGGATTCCCTGCAAACAGGGGGGCTCGTTTCCGGCAAGCCCTCTGAGGACGGCGCTCACTGCTCCTCCGACGCGGACTCGCAGAGCAGCTCCTGTGTGTGTGGCCCCGGACGGGGAAGGGGTTGCAGCTGGTGTGATGGGTGACCTGTGACGGGCACCGGTGCCTAAAACTCGCAGGAGCCGGTTCTCCTCCACGCAGCTCCCCTGCTCCCGGCTCTGCCGCCTGCACACTGTTCAGCCGCCTTCCCTCCCCACACAGCCCCTGGAACAGCAAGCCTCTGGCTTTGCGGGGACCTCGGGAACGCAGTGGGGAAGAGGGGAGCCGGCCGGCCTGGAGCGCGGAGGCAGCGCTGGGCCGGGGTGAGGCCCGCGGGGCTCCAGAGGTGGCCCCCATTTCTCTGGCCCCGCAGGTTAGAAGCTGAGTTGTGTATTTCAGCCTTTTTATTTTTCTAGAACACAGACTTACTTCTTATCTGCATCTGTTCATTCAAAGGGCTTCAATTCAGTCTTTGGCAACCTCCCCACACAAGTGGTTCTGTTTGCTGTCCCGCAGAGGCAGCCCGCCCACGGGGCCCGGCGTTCCCTGAAGTCTCAGATGTGGGAGCTGACCGCCAGCAGCCTCTGCCCCCAGGACCCCACCCCCGAGTCTCAAGCTCTGAAGGCAGCCGCCTCCTTGCTTTACAAACAGGGAGGCCGAGTCCTGGAGGGCTCGGCGACTCACAGCGAAGCGTAGTCTGCGCTGAGCACCTGCTGGGCGCGAGCTGCCTCGTGCACAAGGGGAGAGGAGTGGTCTGGCTTCAGGGGCCGCGGACTCGCTGTGGGACGGCGCCCTGTGCCTGCCGTGGCTGTGGGGACCCGCGCCCCACACAGGGCCACTTCCAACGCCCACGCCCGGGAGTGAGCGCCCGGTGGGTGCTGGTGGCGAGGCTGCAGCCTCTGCAGGAGGAAGGCGGGCGGATGTCTGGCCACCAGTCTTGCACCCGCTTTTCCTTATAGCCCTTCACATGCGGATTTAACACGCTTGCCAACGTGCGGCTCTGGAAAGACAGAGGCCACGAGAACAGAAGTCGTGCCCACGTAGGGAAGTCCTGGGGGAGCGCGTGTCTGGTCCCAGGCCTTCTGTGACCATGTGCCCGTGGCCCGTGGCCCGGGACTGACGTGGCTGCTTGGTTCCGCAGGTACCAGTCGCTGGTGGCCGCCTACGGGGAGGCCAAGCGGGAGCGCTTCCTCCGAGAGCTGGCTCAGCTGGAGGAGGACGTGCACCTGGCTCGCTCCCACGCTCAGGACAAGCTGGACAGATTCGCCCTGCAGCACATGGTAGGGGCTCGGGGCTGCCTGGGGGACGCCTGACGGCGGGAGCCTGGCGCCCTCCGCACGCCCGACCGCTCGCCTCCCGGGACAGGTGGACGACAGGCTGGCCTGGGAGAGGCCCTCGTACGAGGAGCGGCTGAGTCGAGCGCCCGAGATCCTGGTGCGGCTGAGGTCACACACCGTGTGGGAGCGGATGCCCGTCAAGCTGTGTTTCACGGTGCAGGGCTTCCCCACTCCTGTGGTGCAGTGGTGAGTGGGGTCCCTTTGGGAGGGGGTTCCTCTGCAGCGGGCGGCTCACCTGAGCTGATGGAGAAGGTCCACCCGCCGGGGACACATGGCACATGACACCCATTCCACCCACCAGCGTGCTTGAAACTCTGGGAAACGCATGCACAGGCCTAGGAGCAGGCTGGGGTGGGGGTGGGGTGGACACTGGAAATCCTGGGCAAGTGCTTTCATTTTTGGGAACCTGACCCAGCTGAGCTTCCAGAGGACTTTTGTTTACAGCCAGGCTCCCTGACGTGACCAGCGTTTCCACCGGTGGCACTGCTTTCACGCCTGTGCAGACTCGTAAGGGAGGCTCCAAGCTCCGAGGCTCCAGACCACGGAGCGAGGGTCCCTCCAGTCGCGTGATGTTGAAAAATTGAATCTCTGAGCCCCACTGACACTTCCGTTTCAGCATGTGCTTCTCAAGCTGACACCCCGTCCCTGTGTTCTCCCACTCGATGGGAGTGCTGCCGGAGTCTGCCGTTCGCCGCAGACCCACAGCCGTGCCGCCCGTGTCCCGCACGGGGCAGAGCAGAAGAGCAGAGCCCTGTTCCTCTGGCCACGCAGGCGGTGGGCTGGGGAGGCCGAGAGCCGCTCGGCCTTGGTTTTGGGGAGCTGCAGTCCTGCTGCCCTGGGGGACGGCGAGGGCAGCATCCTCCAGGCAGGATCCGGTGGGGTTGGGTCCCACAGAACCCTCCACACGCGTCGCAGCTCCGCTGTGGCCTCGGGAGGCTGCCCCAGGGCCTCCCCGACATTGGCTCCATTTTTTCTATGGAAGGACATGACCTTGGTTCCTAACAGGTTCAGGGGGACCGCTGGCCCAGGCTCCGTCGGAGTTCAGGATTGCCCAGGGGTCTGCATCTTGCCAGAGCCGCTCTGTCCCTAACAGCTGAGCTGGGCCCCGGGCCTCTGAGCTGTGATCTGGGAGGTGACGCTGGCAGAGGCAGGGCCATGACGCGCTGGGGCGATGAGGGGACACCTGCCCGGGCCCTGTCTGCCTGTATGCTCAGAGCAGTGCTTCCCTCATTCAGGTATAAAGACGGCAGCCTGATCTGCCAGGCGGGGGAGCCGGGGAAGTACAGTATCGAGAGCAAGTATGGGGTCCACACGCTGGAGATCAACAGGTGAGAGCTGGGACTCGGCCGTGCACCCCCAGCACCTGCCCACATGCTCCTCCCTCCACACACAACAGGGGGCCCCACGTCTGTGTCCTGCGCGACGTCGTGGCGTTTCCCAGCTAATGAGACGGGCGGTGGACACAACGCTAGTGACCTGGGTGTCAGGCCCGAGGGACGTGGACTCTGCTCTGCCCAGGCTGCTCCAGGAACAAAGAGGGGACGAAAGGACAAAGGGTGGGAGGAAGGACAAGGGTGTCCAGGTGTGAGGGCGCAGGGAGAGGCAGAGACGGCCCTGGTCAGCAGCCTGCCGCGTCCCCGCCAGGTTTGGGCAGCAATCACTGAGCCGACTCTTCCAGGAAATCTAATGTCTGGTTTTTTCTCATGACAAATTGGAAACATGTAGTACATACAGGCGAGTGAAACAACCTCGGGTTCCTCCCCGTGTCCGACGGCGAGTGTCAGTGAGCCACAGTGGGTCAGAGGGGGTGAGCGCTGCTACCGGGCGGGGGCCGGGGCGGGTGTGGTGCTTCGGGGCCGGGCAGGCCCTCGTGGGGAAGCTGTCTCGGGGCAGGGCTCATGGGGAGCGTGGGGGGACAGGGAGGTGCGGGGAGGAGGTTCGGGCCCCAGGACCGCAGTGGGGGGCCTGGGGGACAGGAGGGCACAGGTGTCTCCAGGACCGCGAGGAGCCCCTGCCTGCAGCCGTCGCCAGGACGTCGGCCGGTCCTCGGGGGCCACGGGGAGACCGCAGAGGCGGGAAGGGGGAGACCTGACTGAGCTTCAGGAGGGTCACTCTGACTGCGGGTGGGTGGAAGGGCCGAGTGTCGGACAGCCTGGCTGAATTCGAGAGAGACGGGGGGCTTGGACTGGGGGTGTGGGGAGCGGGGGCTGGGCATGGGCCGGCTTTGCGTGGAGCCGGAGGCTTTGCTGAGGGACTGGATGTGGGTGTCAGCTTCGGGCTCCTGCTTCCGCCGGGACGAGGACGGCAGAGGGTTGGGGGGGGCAGCTGGGCAGCCCACTCTCGCTTGATTTCCAGACTTCCCAGAACTTCCACAGGCAGGTAGCCATGCCAGCTAGGGAGAGTCTGCCTTCACTTCGAGGAGTGTCTTTATCTGGGGACCGGGTGACCCTTTTCTAACCAACTTGGGCCGCCCTGTGGCTACTTAGGGTAAGTTTGAGGTAGCAACTGGTTTGTTTTCAAGCTGCGTTTTAGTTACTGTTTTAAAAAGCGAAACGAATTCCTTTTCTCAAGCGTGAAAGGTCCTGTTCACACTAGTGTTGGCAGCTTCTCCGTCTCTGTTGGGAATGACAGGGGCTTTGAACCAGCGAGGCCCCAGGAGACAGAGACGGCAGGAGGGGTCTCCTTCCTCCTCCGATGTGCTTGGCGTTTGCGCAGTCTCGCAAGTATCCGAGGAACCTGGGAGAGGAACTTTCCCAGGCCAGCTTTTCTCCCAGTAGGCTGACCCGCGTCGGGACGCTCTGAGCAGATGAAATGTGGGCATTTTTCAGAAAAAGAGCCCGGGGGAGCCCACAAATTACAGCCGACCTCAGCTGTTCATTCCAGACTGCTGAGTTTCCATCATCCGATCCGGCCGGCTGAGTGCTGGGGAACGCGCTGGCTCCCTCCTCCGCCGGCTCAGCCGCCACTCTTCCTTCGGTTACAAGAGTGACATTTATTCCTATGAATATTCCTTGGCGGCTGTCACCGAATTCCTGAAGCGCCGAACAGGAAACTTAGTTCCCTTCCGTGCTGGTCGAATTGAGGCTGCACTTGACACTATTTTATACGCTCATAAGATTTTCTCCTGGGACTCACGGCCTGACTTCGATTTCCGCAAAGAATTGTAATGCTGCTTTGTGCCTGTGTGAAGGTGTCTGGAGCGCTCCGTCTTGTGCTTTGTCCCATTACCACCACCCCCTCTCCTCGCCAGAGGGCTCCAGGCCAAACCTCTTCTTGCACTTTATTTTTAGACTTTGATATTCAAATTCTACTTTGAGTTAAATTTTAAATCCCGTGTCAGCACTGCCGAGAGTCTGAGGACACGGGGGCCTGACTACCCAGGAGAAATTCCTCGGCCACTTAGACCTCTGTCTGTCCCTCTTTAAAATAGATGAAGTGTTACTAATTTCTCCCGTGGAGCTGTTTTTGGGCACTTCAGATAGTTGCTTTGGGATGCCAAAGGGCCCCATGGAAGCTGGTAAGAACTGAGACCAGAGGAGACCGTCTCTGTCTGTTCTGGGATCCTGTCCAAACAGAAAATAAATCCCTTTGCCCCTTAAGCACTTGCTTGCAGTTTCCGAGAGCACGCGGTAAAGGCTCGAATTAGACTCTGCGGGCTGCCGACACACGTTCCTGAGTGTGGCCTTGGGAAGGAGAGAAAGATTGGAGCCCTCCGGGCGGTGGTCAGGCATGAGGGTCTCCAAGTGACCGGTGGACGGAATTTTCAGTTGGGCTCCATCTCCTCGGCATCGGCCAAGTCCTGCTGCCCAGCCTCCTGCTGTGTCTGCCGCCCGGTGCCCCCCGGCCAGGCTTCCTGGAGCCCACCCTGCACCAGCAGGCGACAGAGACGCAGGAGCCCCCCCCCCGTACACACTGTGCGCTTACTCATATTTGTACACGTTCCACTATATTTTGTACGAAGTAGAGCATTTGCAGGAGAGACGGGCAAGAAGACTGGGATTAAAGTAACCACCGCCGGGGGGTCTAACGTCCCCGCACAGCCCGCACTGGGCGCGCCCTGCCCTGGGGGCCGCTGCGGGAGGCCAGTGGGTCTGCGTGTTCTGGGGGGGGCTCTGTGGGCCCTCTCCTCCGAGTGTGTGCACGTGGGCATGTACACGTCCATTTGTGTTTGACGGAAGAAGGCTCAGGGTGCAGTCTATGAGGCTGCTTCTCCCAAGCCCGGTCCCTTCCGCTGAGCGCCAGGTGCTGACGGGTCACTGGGCCAGCCCGTCGGCGCTAATGTGTTAGGTAGCTCCCGGCCGGGTCCCAGTTC